TTCAGAAAATATTGTCCATATTCATAAAAAAACAACTAAAAGCAAATAAAAGCATTTGAAATTAAATAATATCTTTGTTTTATTGAGTTTTGTATGTTACAATTCAGAGCTGATTTTCCGGTAGGGGGGGGGGCAATAAAAAACAAAAAAAAACATGATTTGCATTCCTCAAAGCCTTGTGCTTTTAACTATTGTAATCACTAAACTAGACTTGATCGAATTTTTGTCATTTTCAAAAAATTAGTTATGGAGAAGTAATAAATATAAAAAAAATATTTCTGCCATGACTTTAATAAAAAAAAAAAAAAAAACATATGTATAATAATTTTGATCATCTGTGAATAGTTTCTGAAAGTTTCATTAACATCCAACAATTATTTTTGCAAGATTTTCCAAATTAATGTGTGTCATACAAAAAAAAAAAAACGTGCTAAAAATTGTATGTTATTTTGCTAGTTCTGGTCATAGAAAGAGAAACAAGGTTTTTTAATCAATTAAAAAGGAGGAAAAATTTTTTAAAATAATTAAAAAAATCTTTGGTCTTTCCTCTTAATAACAAACATTTAGACAATAAAATTTTGTTTTTATCAAGTTTGGCATCTTTTTCATCATGCTATGCTCTTTTTTTTTTTTTTTTTTTTTTTTTTAGCGATCTCATGGAGGTACCTACTTTAGCTTTTGATATAATTTTCTAGTTGATGGTGGGATACCGTCATTCCTTAATTGTCAGAAATATTTGGAGAGTGTAGTGTTATTTTTGTATTTTAAATTACTTAATGTTATTGAACGATGGTAAAAACAAAATTTCCAAGGATTTTCTGTGGAACCAAAATAAAATTTAACATCATTACCAGAATGTATGCTCGCTTGGTATACAGTATTATTGGTCATACCTTGATCGTTTAAGGAGAGATCATTTTTTTTTTTTTTTACTTTTAGAAGAATTTACATTGTCTCTGTTGGAAATATGTTTGTTTAATATAATGTTGTTATGATGGGAGAGAGATGTGTCTGTTAATAACACTGCTACAACTAATCATAATATTATTTTTGTTAAATCTTTTTAAGTCTTGGTGAATGGTTACAGTGCTTATGAATTAAATTTTGGGAATTCTTCTGATATTTGTTTGAACATTATCAAAAAGTGGATTAAAACACAAAGTTACGCCTACAGTGTTTCTGTTTATTTTTAACTTTGTTTTTTCTAAATTTTACTTTATGGTTGCTTAGTTCTAAAGCTTTTATACATTTAATTTTATTATTATTAAATATTTCCTTATTATTGGAGTTGAGAGATTAAGATTGTAGTGATCCAGGAAGCAACCCCTTGAGAGTGTGTTCCATAAATTATAAGAAATGATGCAATTTCCTGTCAAGGAAAGTTTGTGAGAAATTGGATCAACTTTGGTGCAATACTTTTTGTCCAATTGATGAAGGATCCAGGCATGTCCGAAAATTCTGACTTTCTCTTTGTACTTCAGTTTAGTCAAAACACTAATAAATATCATCAGTCTTATTGACAATATTTGTATCATTTTGTTTTTCCTCAACTTTCATTAACCAACCTGTTAAATCTACACACACACACACACACACACACACACACAACGCCCTCCCTCTTTCTCTTGTAGTGACTAAAAATATTTGTATATGCAACATGTTAAAAATTCTGGCATTTTGTTTTTCTGTTTTGTTTATAATCTACTGTAATTGACAAAACATTATTTCACATTACAAATTGATTGCTTTAGAAAATGAGAAAGAAGTTGAGTATTCTACATGATTTACCTTTGCTTTAAATCTTAATTGAAAGCATGATGTCGGATTAAGCAGCTTTACCATTGTTTCAGTATAGTTCAGAAAAACTTTTCATCCTAAAACAAAAAATATTTTTTTTTAAACTTTACAATGATTTATAGTTATCAGTAGCATAATAAAAACACTTAAAATATTTAGGAAATAAATGAAAAGCTAAATTATTAAAATCTTAAAACGGATAAACACAAATAAATTAAATTTTACTGTAATTTTTATAAACATCACAACTTCATTTTTACTCAAACATTAAAAAAATAATTAAATGAACCTACTTTAAATTTTACAAAGTTTTTATACACAAAAACAATTTTCTCAAAGCTACTCTTTGAGTTCATATACTTTGGTTCAATAAATTTTCATTTTTGGACAGGATTTGATTTAATTTTGAGGTATATTTATTTCCAAATAAATTATAACAGAACTTTTTGGCTTGATTTATTTATTTTTTCTTCACCATTAGTGATGGACAAGAGTCTTTGCATGGCTGCCTGGAATGTGTTTTGTCAAAGAAATTGCTGTTGCCACTACTAAGACAAATTCTCTACTACATTGCTTCTCACTTTTATTGTTTGGTCCCCATGGGCATTAACCAAAGCTTGATGAATGGAAATGGGCACAATGTTTGTTTGTTCTTTGAATGGAGCCAAATTTTTTTTACACTAAGGTTCACCCTGTACAAGGCCTAGGGCTACTCAGAGTAGTGTTACGTTAAGGGGCATTTTATGTACATAGGAGGTGAAAATAATGGTTAACTCTAGACTTGAACAGGTTAAGATTGTAATGATTGGGGAAGCATCCTCTTGGGAATCAGTTCCACAGAACAGAGGTTTGTGAGAAGAAGCTGTTCGAGTGGAATTTACTTTTTACCAATTGGAGGTAATGTGGGTGATTTGCTACAATGTAAAGTGGCATGTCAAATTCTAGCTGTGAAGGAACAACGGAATGTAGTTCGTCAGAGCAATTTCCATGGAAGTAGGAATAAAGCAGGGAGAATTTGGGGTGTGGGGGGTAAAATCACTTGTCACTCACAAAGACTCGGAGACACTTTTGAACTCTATCATGGTGACACAATTCTGCATTATATACACATATTCATATCTGACGTTGTAGTAAGACAAAAAATGATGGCTTATTGGTAGGAATGTTCAACTCTACAGTCTGCCTGAAGTTATGCAAACCTCAATAACTCTAATCTGCTTTGAACAATTTTTGTCAAATTTTAAACAATTAGTTCAGATGTCAAAACAAAGCTTCAGTTAAATTTTTTTTAGGTAATTTCAACATGTTTTATTAAATTTATTTGATTTAATATAAAAACTGCAGTTTGAAGTTATACAAAACCAGAAAATAACTTTTTACTTCAATAACAAGGTTATAAAATCAACAACTGATCAACACCTATAATAAAACAAATAACAAACATATAGGATAAGTCTTTTGAATATTTACATCTATTTAAAATAGTGAGATTTCTTTATCTCAATAAGTCAGCAATCTATTCATTGATTTCTTCAGCAGTTTCAATTTCTGACATGGTGGTTTTAATTGTTTCCCATAAGACTGCTTGGCTGTCATATTGTTTGCCACCTACATATAATTTCATTTTCACAATTGACCATACATTTTTGATCAGGTCTTGATGGTGGCCCTTCCATTATCTTCTCTCCTGTAAACCTTTTATGCTCAAAAAATTCACTGATAACCTTAGATACATAAGAGCATTGCTGTGCATAAATACACACTTCACATTGAAACTGTGAGGCTGGACCTTGTACCATTCAAAGAAAGTTTTGTCTATGAAATTGCAATTAACTCCTTCAACTTTGAATGGTTTAATAATGGTTTGGTTGGCGATTCCAGTTCATATAATCACACTGCTGCCTTCTTTTAGCCACAAGCACATTGGCATTGGATAAAATTTATCCTTTGGCACGTCCATCGAATGTCACCTGAGATTTGTCTGAAAATTACTTTAGGAAAGCCAATTTTCATGTATTTCTAGGTCCAGTTTTGATGTTTCAAAATACTTCCCTTACTGAAAGGAGTTTGTGTGGGATAATTTTTTTGACAGGTCCCAATTTGCAAAGTATTCTACACTTTTTGTCATTGATAAAAAAATTCCAGTTTGTTCAAAGATCTGAACACTGGTCATAAGTGGTGGTTGGAAAAAAGTTTAAAAAAAAAATTCAGGAGACAAGTTCTTAAAGCCTTTTCCTTTGTTTCTAGTTCTCAACTTAGTTATATTTTCAACAGTCCTCTTTATCATTCGATAATCTCTGCAAAGTTCTTTTTATATCGCCAATGTAAACATTCCCTCAATCAATAACTTTTTCTGTTTTTCAGCATTTCTTAGATCTTTCCATTGTTCGGGTTTCAACATATGGAAAAAAAATAGTTTCCATTAGATTTCAAAGGCCTTAAACTAATATTAGTTTAAACTTCAGACTGCAGTTTTTATAATAAAGCCTGTTGAAACTACCTAGAAATTTAACTCCAGTTTTGTTTTGATGTCTAAATTAAGAGTTTAAAATTTGTTTAAATCAAATTTAAGTTATTGATGTTTATGGGATTTGCATAACAACTTTAGACTGACTGTAATACCATACCACCACCATGTGCTTCTGATGTTGATATAATATTGGAGACATTACTAACAGTAACCTTTTAAAATGCTATCTGGGATTTATTCAGTAGCAGCATATAATAATTTTGATAGATACATTCCTTTCATGAAAACCATTCACATTGAGTGTGTTGAGTGTTTTTACCATTTGTTGGTTAATAATTGTAAGAAGATAGAATCTATTCAGTAGTTAGCTTTTATTTGAACCTATTTTGAGATTAGAAAACTAAACTCTTTTATTTTAAATTCTAAAATTGCTAATATTAAATGAAATACTTTGATTAAATCTTTTTCTGAAATTTCATGTTTTTTAAAGTTTTACTGGTTGAAAAAATTTTAATCTTGGAAACAAATTGATGAAATTGCTAAGCAACACAAAAATTGATTTTATGAAACAATTTTGATTTAAAAAAAAAAAAAAAAAAATGATAAATGAAATGAATTTTAAATTATTGTAGAACCTCGCTTTTTACTTTTTTTTTTTTTTTTTTTTTTAAATGATTGATACTATAAATATTTGGGTGTCTCTATTTTATGTTATAAAATTTCTTATTGTCAGGGAGGTATTTAAAGCAAGGTGTAAGAAAACCAACAAACTTGTGGCCTTAAAGAAAGTTCTGATGGAAAATGAAAAAGAAGGAGTAAGTTTTTGCATTTCTCTTGTTTTTTTTTCCTTGAATGAATATGCATCTTTGCAAGACAAATGATAAAAACCCTAGTAAAATTTGATATTAATTCTATTCCATTATCTCTTGATAACTTGGAAGGGTATGGCTTCAGTTAAATACATATATTTTGATTTAATTGAAGAAAAATAAAGCTGTGTTATGTGCTGCACATTAATGCTATATTTTAAATTGAGCTTTCACAAAACAATGTATTTGCCTACATAATATCACTGACAACATAAATCCTATTGGATTTTTTTTGCATCCTAACAAAGCAATATTTGTGTTTCATTGTAACAAAGATGAACATTTTGGTTAAAACTTAATTTCATTTGCTATATAAATGGAATATTTTCTTGCCCTTTCAGTTTCCAATAACTGCATTAAGGGAAATTAAAATATTACAACTACTCAAAAATGAGAATATCATAAATCTCATTGAGATTTGCAGGACGAAGGGTAAGTTTCTATTTCACATGATTGCTGTATGTATTGTGACAATTCAGGAACATTTTTGAGAAACAAATATAAATTTCTGGAAGTAGAAATTTGGCTTCAGCTTTTCATTAGTTTGTTGTTTATTCCTTTTTGAAACACCATTAATGACTATGTTGTTTATTCCTTGATGACTTGACAACATGGTTCCTTTGTAATATCTCACCTATCTCTTGAACACAGATATTTGTGATTGAATAATTCTTTAGGAAATTACTCATCAGATGTAGATATTTTTGTTTTAATTTTTTTTTTTTTTTTTTTAATGTTGGAGCCATTCACTGTTGACTTTCTTCAATGTGTTCCCTTTAGCCATTTTTTTACTCTACAAAATATTATTACTGGACATTTTTTTCTTTTTTTTTTCTGAACTCTATATTGAATTATTATTTGGCATGGAATTTTAATAAACCTTGGTTAATTGAATATATCATTTATATACTGTTGCTAAATGCAGGCTGATGTTCAAAAATAAAACCTTAAATATTGTCACTTGCCATGTTATTCATTCTTACTCCATGGAAGGGTTGACAGCTTTGGTTACTTTTGAGTGTTCAATACTACTAAATTTTGAATTTCATGACTTGTGTGAATTTTTAGGCTACTAAAGTAAATTCAAAATTTACTAGCACTGAGCTTTCAAATATAATCAAAATACGTATTTGTATCTTGTAACCCTTGTTCAGCTACCTTTTGCTTTGTTGTTTGTATTTACTTAACTTGGATTACTGTGCTGCACTCAGTTAGATTGTTTAGTATTCTTTCCTTCTTTTGTAGCCACAAGTTACAATCGGATGCGAGCAACATTTTATCTTGTTTTTGATTTTTGTGAACATGATTTGGCTGGCCTGTTAAGCAACGTCCAAGTAAAATTCTCACTGGGAGAGATTAAAAAAGTAATGCAACAACTCCTCAACAGCCTTTATTTTATTCATAGCAACAAAGTTCTACATCGAGATATGAAGGCTGCCAACATCCTCATCACCAAACATGGTGTCCTAAAACTTGCTGACTTTGGGCTAGCTCGTGCTTTTAGCATGAAGGGACAACCAAACAGATATACCAACCGGGTGGTGACACTCTGGTATCGACCACCTGAGCTGTTACTTGGAGAAAGGAATTATGGTCCTCCTGTAGATCTGTGGGGAGCTGGGTGCATCATGGCTGAAATGTGGACCCGTAGTCCAATTATGCAAGGAAACACTGAGCAACATCAGCTTCAGCTAATCAGCCAGCTTTGTGGTTCAATCACTCCAGAAGTGTGGCCAGATGTTGAAAATCTTGAACTCTACAGTAAAATTGAACTTCCAACAGGACAAAAACGAAAAGTCAAGGATCGTCTGAAAGTTTATGTAAAGGATCAATATGCGTTGGATTTACTTGATAAACTCTTAACTCTGGATCCTTCAAAGCGTTGTGATAGTGATACTGCTCTGAACCATGATTTCTTTTGGACTGATCCTATGCCAACAGATCTATCACGTATGTTGTCTCAGCATACAACTAGTATGTTTGAGTTTCTTGCCCCACCAAGACGACGAGGACAAGCTCAACATCATGTTCCAGCTCGCCCAACACAGAATCCTGACCAACACTATGAACGAGTATTTTAATATTTAAGCCAGTTATTTGTCCTTTTTATTTCAGATTTCTTTCTAAAAAGAAAAAAAAAAGTGACCAGAGGAACCAAGTCCTCTTAAATTGTCTTAGCCTGTGATAAAAAAAAAAAAATATATATATATAAAAAAAACAAAACACACATGCACACACTTGCAGGCATGAATTCAATTCCTTACTTGGACTGTTCCCATTAGCATCTGAGTGTACCCATTTTATTCAGATATTTTTGCTACTGCTGAAAACTTTTGGGAAGAGGCTGGAAACTCTGCCTAATCAGACTTAAAATAAGATGTTTTAAAGTTTGACAGGAATCATTCCAAATGTTATGTGCATTTCAGTTGAACTTCATTCCTAACAAAATTCTTCCAATCATGAAACCAAAAACTCCATCCATTTGTAATAAAGTTCGCACAAAAATCAAATCCCCATTGGGTATGACTTTCTATTATGAGTGGCATTTATAAAAGAAATGGAATCATTCTGTCAAATCAACAAGGGTCTGACAATCACCAAGACAGATTTTTCAAATTTGGTACACTTATAGAGCTTCATGATAGACATGCTAACATTTTCATATCTCCCACTATGGTCACATTGTATATCTTTTGAAAGCTGGTTAATATTCACATATGAACTATGATCATAAAATCAACAGAACTTGTGCTATTTGTGGTTAAGTGGAAAATGACCTTATTTTTGGTTTTGTTTACATTTTTATATGAAAATATTTAAAAAAGTGTCATGAATTAAATGTTAAGATAACAACATTAAAAAAAGTATGCAACAAATGTTAATGGCTAACAAATCTTTCTAAAGATTTGCAACTTGACCATATTGGGAGACATGAAAATATTAGCATATGGTGGCAAATACCAAAAAACGCCATTTTGAATTTGGACCAACTCAGTAAAATCCTTGTTACTGAGGTCACCAAAAAAATTTGTACATATATTGCCATAGAGAAGACAAATTTGCTGCCAAATTAAAAAAAAAGAAAAAAAAGAGAATCAACTTTTTAGATCCATCCAAGTACTTAATTCTGTTTTTTCACCTACAAAGTTATACTTGTACTACTTACCAAAATTCACTTTTTTGGCAAGGGTCAAACAGTCATATCTCAGGAACCTGTTGACCTAGAGGTACAAAATCCATCCAATTTCTATCATGAAGCTCTATAAGTGTACCAAATTTTGAGGGAGGAAAATATATTGGTGATGGTCAGATCCTTGTTGATTTAATGCGAAAAGACTCAAATTTCTTTTCAGATGTTGCATGTAATTGTACATTCATGTATGTGCAAAGCTGAAAATGAAAAATAAAGAAACAAACCACAAAAAAGTTTATTAATTTTTATTTATCAAAATTAGTTAAAAAATAATTTTATTGCTAATATCTACATCTGACATTGGAGAATAATAAATGAAGGCTATAAATGTTAAGGCACTTTAACAGTTGGGTCTTGATTAAGGGGGCATGGGGAGGGAGAAGAAGGACAAAATGTCACCTGTGGCAAGTAATAACTCAGAACAATGTAAGAAAAAGATTTTTTTTTAAATAAGCTCATAAGTGAAGTCTCATGTGTTTAATCCCAGTTTTATTTAAGTATATATTGAATTTACGTTAAAGTATTCCCTTAAGACTTAAAATATTCAAAACTGACTTAAAACAAAAACTTTAGGATGAGGAGGAATGAAAAATATTTTGACAGGATTTAAAAAGCTGTACTATCCAGGAATAAAAACACAGGGATTTAATCTATAACTACATAAACAATGGCTTACAAGTTTCGCATATTCAACAAATGTATGATGTTTAAAATAAGGATACAAAGAAAACTTAGTATTGACATTTAGCTGTAATGGAATTTAATTCACAGATCAAATTTTCTGCTCTTAAATTGTGATGCACTACAGCTGATAAATAAAATCTTGCTTGTGATATTTGGTGTGTATCAAAGAAGTGTCTTCCAAACCTGAACCATTGATTTCATTTAGTAGACATTTGTTTACAAATTCCTTGGATGACTAAGCAAGTAGGGTTCCGAGTTAACTGTAGCCAGTAGGTGTGGAATGAGATGCCTTCTTTGGTTGGTTGTAGAGATAGCAATTAGTGAAATATAAAAGTTGGGGGAGGGGAGAGCAAAGAATTACAAAAAGTGAAAGAAAAAAAAAATCTCTGTAAATATTGCCAGAGATAACATAAATTTATATACACTCCGTATTTTACAGCATGTAAAGTTAATTCCCCACCCTCTCAAACATGTCCATTGCATATAGGCAAGGTTCCTAATAAAATTCACCAACCCCCAACCTAAATGTTGCTTTCTGAAATTCTGGTTAGACATTGAAAGATGACAAAAGAACAAAAAATACAGGCTAAATTTGCATTGTGAGTTGTAGAGCGGGGGGAAGCATATGAAAAGTAATCTTCAGCAGTTAATAGTTTGGTTCTTTCTTGTTTAGTAATTAGTGTTTTTGTTGTGTCTAATTGAATTTTTTTTTTTAAATGCCATTGTACTTGTATGTAATCTTGAATACTCTATATAAAGAGTATGTGTAAAGAAAGAGTTCTTCCAATTTTATTTAGGCATGCATTGATGGATCTGGGACCAAGAAAACCTGCCCAAGATTTAGTTTTAATGTTGGCATATGTAGCCAGTACATTTAATGATTCCCAGTTCTTTTTGGTATCAAGTGACATTTATGTAGCAACCTATTTTTACTTAGATCATTACAAATTAGGACAGAAACTTAACAGAAATTGAGTTATTTTTCAAGAGAAAGACAGCCAAGTAAAGTATTCCATTTAAAATCAAAATGATATCTGACTAAAATGTAAGAGCAATGCACCTATTATGTACCCACTTTGACAAATTAAAAACTATCTATATTCATTAGTTAATAGTAGGGAAATAGGGATCATTTTTAGGGTCTTTATTTAAAAAAAGAAAACAGAATATATAAAGTAGTGAAAGCAACAAATCGACACTTCCAATTACCAGAAACAAGTATATATAACACATCAATTGAACAATTTTTTTTTTTTTTTTGTCATACACAGGGAAAGGCAGTTTCTAAAATGATTCATAAACATCAAATGAGAATTTAAAAACAATAGTAAAAGGCTCAAGCATTCATGAAAATGAATTCAGAGAATTTCTGAATGACAATTCTTTTGGAGGGGAAGGTAAATAGATTGGGAATGAAGCAATATTTATTTACTTTACTCAATCTACTCTGATATAAGGCCATAAGGAAAGACTAAATTCATTACATTAAAAACTTTCTCTTACAATATATTTAGAAAATTCTTAATATGGCTAGAGCAATTTCTAAAAAAAAAAAAAAAAGCCTACGAATTATTTTTTTATTATTTACAGGATGTGCATAACTTTTGGTTAATTATAATTTTCTGCTTACCTCAAAATGCAGTCCTCGAAAAATGGCTTGAAATATTGTAAACTTGATGTAATAATTGTCAAGAGGTTTATCAATAATTTTTTTTTTTTATGCTTGTAGAATTTGATGCTTTAAAATTGGACACACATCTGTATTAGGATATAAAATGCTGTTTAACTGTTACATAACGGGATTTTTAAAAAATTTCTCTAGCATTAGCCACAAAGTTTTACAGAATCAAAATTATTTGATTATTATGATTTAGACATTAATTCTTTAAAAAAAAAATATCTTGTTATAATAGAATGGTAGAGGAGTCACTGACCTTTGAATGTTTTATTTTGTGCTACCAAATAAAAATAAACTGTAAAACAAAAGGGATAGGTTGGCTTGAAGAAGAAAAAAAAAAAAAAAAATTTGTCACAACCAAAAACTGATAAACCAGACTTTTCATCTGACTATTTGTTGAGATCACCACAGGGGAAGCATAAAATTTAGTGAAAAGTATGAGGGTGGGGATATTCAGAAAAGCTTCTTTTTTTGTTCTTCCTTCTTTCTTACTCACTCACTCACTCACTCACTCACTCTCACACAAGAAAAATGAAATTTTGTAGACTACAAATTCATAACATCTGAATTTTTACACACAAATAGACTAATAACATTTGACATAACATAATATGTTGGCCTGAAGATGTGATTTGTGTTAACCAGTTTCATAGTAATTTTTTTTTTTTTTTAAATTATCCTCAATTCTTTTAAGACCTGTTTCCTTATTTTTGTGAATTTTGATGCTTTAACAGCTACACTCTGGCCTTCTGAAAGGATCAATGGATAGTAAGAGATTTTGCCATCATAGTGTCCAAGATACTTTGATTTTCTAAAGAAACTTTAACCAAGCTTCATTATGGATATACCCAAAGCTTAGCTAAGTCTGGTATAAAGACAAATAGTGAGAGGGGTATTGAGTTGACATTGCTGTATTCCAGCTTTTGTTAGGTATCTATCATATTTGATAAGCTTTTGGGTTAAAAATACAAGAAAACTGGCTGGGACACAAGTCAAAGTATAATAATCATAACATACTGCCTGAGAAATTGATGCACATACAAACTTACAATTTCATGCTTAAGAAATGTAAGGGGCAGTTCAGTAAATAAAGAAGGAACATGTATCAAAACAATTCCTAAACTGATAAGACAAAAAATGGAAGCATGTAGATTAAGATTTGGAGAAAGCTTTTGAAAAATAGCAGTCATAGGAAGAAAAGAAAAACAAAAATGGATTTGAACTTTAGACACCAATATTTACAGTTGCATCCTTTGTTAAATTTTGCTTGGGAAAGCTTTTTGTTTTGTATATGAATCATCTGCATGATAGAAAAATAGAATATTCATATACACTGGTATATTTGGAAAAGAAAAGTAGTTGTAGTAATTAAGGGACTCTAGTTTTAATTTCCTTTCTGTCATTTTTTTATATATATATATATATATATATATATAAAATGAAAATTGATAAAAAAAAAAATTTGATGTGTATTATGGATTTTAATAGTGAGTTTGAAAGACTTTCAGCAGCAGTTGAGATGCCAGTGTAAATATTGGCCTGAAGTCCCCAAACTTGATCTTTCTAATTAGCTTTACATTGTTTCAGCAGTCATTTTAACCTATTAACTATGGCAGAAGCTCTGTCATTTGCAGCGGAGATATTAAACTGCAATTATGGTAATTCCCTACATAAATGATTAATGGCTTGACGCTCAAATCCTCATTGTGTGAGAAGATACAGCAATTTTCTCTTTTTTTTTCTAATTATTAAATATTGAAAGCTTGAATGTGGATTTTTTTTTTTTTTGTTGAACAGCAGCAGTACAGAAGTACACGGGGGAAGAGAGAAACATGAAAAAGTTTGCACACACAAAAATTTAGAGTTTGATTTGGAGAGATCTTAAAAGAAAAAAAAAACCCAATGAAGATAAAAAAAAAAAAAGTTTTGTAATCGTCAACAAAGCAAGTGAAACCATTCACTCTCAAATCAAAAACTGATAAAATATCAAATCTCATTTATGAAGAAATTTTCACATAGGATGTTTATGAGGCAAGTTATTTTTTTTTTTTTTGTTGACACTTAACACATTAAGGAATTCTTCCTTTTTATTAAACAAATAAAATTGATGCAGAAAGTTAGAATTCTGCAGACACCCTCCTTGAAGGGGGGGGGGGCTTCTGCAGAAATTGTAGTTGTCAATTCCAATAGAGATATTAACTCTACAAAATCTGCAAGATTTGATGAAGGACAATTAACAGTCATGAGCTACACAAAATTAAAATAAATAAAAATATCAAAGAATTTTAATTTAATGTGGCCAATTTAAATGATACTTATTTAAAAGTTGGACACTTATTTTGTAGCTAGTGCATTTGCTAATATACCTCTCAGAGGAAATATACGACTTTATGCATTTGCATTAGAAAAGACCAATAAATACACAGAATAGTGAAAAAGAGCATCACGATTATTTGTAAATTTCTTGAAACTGATATCCTAATGTTTGTTTTTATATGAACATTTTTGTCAAATATTTGGAGTGATGTGATTTTCAAAGATCAAAACAGACCTGGTTCACAAAGCCACGTTATTTAAGTGACATTAAGTGTTATCCCACTTTAGGATATTCAGATAACTGAGACATAACAAAGAAGAGTGGCAAGAGGTTTTCTTTCTATTATTCTCATTATTAATATTATATAACGTGTATAAAAATTCACGTGTCTTCATGAGAATAAACCAGTACACAAAAGTAAATTCATTCTAGATAGATATGTATGTACATACATACTGATCCCAGAAAGAGGGACCCCACCCATCCAAAATAAGAAAGTTCCTTGGCTTATAAATCCAATACATTTGTAAATAAAGTGAATTGTAATTCATATTTTTCATATATACAGACAGACCCACACATCAAACTACCACTTCCATTCAAAACACCCCACATGTCAATCCATTAATATATATTTTACTTCAGATAAACATTAGTTATTCAGAATGTCCCTCTGAAGTAAAAACTGGACAGACATTTTTGTTTTTAAACCAAGCAATTATAAATGATTTATTAAAAAAAAAAAAAATGCAGGGAAGATGTTATTTTTGTATTCTTATGAAGTGAAAGGGTCCCTGAAAAAAAGTGTTTGGGGAAGGGAGACAAATATGGCTGGAATATATTTTTTTCTCAACCAATTCCAGAGATTGTTGTTTTTTGTTTTAAACCTTCATGTACATATTCAGTAGCGCCCTGGATTCATTCTTGCTGCAAGGAAAAAAAAAATAAAGAAAAAAAAAAAAAAGGTTAAAATGGATAAATAAAATTAAAATTTAAAAAATAGAATAATTTAAAACCATTTTGTTTAATTAAAAACTGACAAATCCTTTTCAAATCAAATTTTTAACAAAATTTGAACATTTAAAATAATAATTCATCAATCATTACTTGAAAAAGGTTTACAGTGTAACAAGTTAATTGTTTTTATTTAGTAACAAAGAAAATTAATTGATGATATCCAGTTTAACCACATTTGATTTAGAAGTTTTTCTTATGTCTCTTTTTTTTCTTAAATTTTAGTGAAGAAAAAGAAAAAGAAAAAGAAAAAAAAAAACAAACTTCCTCCCCCACTTGCATGGTTCTTATCAATGTCAAGTTGTAATATATCTGATATATCTTGCTCTAGAGACAAAGAAGCAGTTAACCTTGTCATAAATTATTTGCATGCAAAGGGGGAGACATACCTACTTTAAAAGGTAAGCAAGATATTGATAGTAATGCATGGAAAATAAAAACAATTTTCACAACATTCAAAAACTTTTTTTTCTTAAAGATATTGTTTTTCCTGGTTACTTAAAGCCAGAAAAAAATCTTTGAGCATAAAACCTGGTGATTTTAAAAATCAACTATTTTGCTTAGTCACATCAACTAAAAATTATCTTGTCAAATATTCTTTTCAAAGTCTTAAACATTTTTAATATTTAAGTTGAGAGATATTACAACATTCAATATTGTAATATCTCTCAAAAAGAAAATAGAATTTAATTTCTATAGATTAGATATTTTTATTATTTTTTCAGATGTTCACTAAAAAGTATAATTTTCACTAAAAATGTTCACTAAAAAGTATAATTTTTTTTAAAAAAAAAAAAAAAAAAAAAAAAGAAAGAATCTATTACAGAATTTAAAGATGGTTTGTAATTTTATAAATTACAATTTAAGTGCTGTTCTAATTTCTGATCTTGCTTTTTTGTTGTTGTCACATTTAAAACATATTTCTCCAATGTGGCTTTCTTCAGAAGGAAAGAAATCCAGCACATAAAAATATAGAATCACTTGTTACATAATTGCTGTGAAATTTGACCAACTTTCATGACTACCTACCTATCTACCCAATCATTAGCAGCAAGAGGTTTGTGTTTTGATTAGGATATTTTCTGAAACTTTAAAAAAATTTTTTTTTTTTTTTTAATTAGCTGTCATTTTCTGGTTGCATTACCAAAGAAAAAGACTTGAAATAAACAGTTTTAACAACTCTTGGAATGATTTTGTTAAAAATAAAAAAAATAAAAAAATTAAAATTAATTTTTTTTTTCCTCTTCAAACAAGGTATGAATATTTCTGAAACGAAAATGTATTTGATTTTAAATTGTATTTTGTTAATATTTTAAGTTCACATTATCATCAGAAAATTTTGTAATTTTTTTTCTTCTTTTTTTTCAATCATTAGTCTCATTTTCACACATTGTAAAATGAATTTGTCTTAGCAATTCACAAACAATTGTTCTCAATAGTCCAAATGTACATAGTGTAAATATCGATAGCTAGTCTTATAAAAATGCAAATGTTTGTGTGCATAAGATAGCCTTCTGCTAGTGATTGTCTAGGTAGTCATGAAAGTCTTTTAGCTCCATACTTGTAATTTTTTGTCAAAATATCTGATAATGGGATAGACTGCAGGAAAAATTGAGTTCATGCTTTCCCCAAAAAGGTTATTCATGCAAAGAGAACTGTAGATCTTTATCCCAAATTGTATTTTTCTGTGCTGAAACCCGTTATGCCACATTTTTTAAACTGCCATTCTTAAACAAATATGAAATTGAAAGTTCCATGGAATTCAGAAGGGAGATGAAATAAAACAAGGAAGAAAGGTGCCAGACATTTACAGGTAATACATGACTTGCACTGCCTACCTTTATTCCAGTAGATAAAAATTGTCATCAGTTACCTTGTGTATTTGAATTTGTAATTACTCGAATATACTAAGGAAAAACATCTAAAGACATAAATATTATTTTACTAAAATTTAATATTTAATGAGAGAAACTTTACAGACAGTAATAAAGTTAACTGAAAAAAAAACAAAAAAAAAAACTCCTTAACCAATGCAATTGCTAAATTATTTAGTGTAATGAGTGCTCTTTTATTGTAGACTTGTGCCAGTTCAATATAATTTAATAAACAACTATGAGCACCTTTTTATGAAGTTGTGGTCTGTAAGCTAGTTTTACTGATCTGTACATGATCCTTACTGGAGTTTCATAGTTGTGGTCTTGTGCTAGATTAATCTTAATCCATAAGAAAAAAAAATGACTGGTAGACAATCTTCATTGATGTAAAGAGTAATTAAAAGATAAATAAATTTGATGAAAGTGAAGAAAATCATATCCAAGATCAAATTTAAAAAATATTTGGCAAAAATTATTTAATAACTAAAAATTGAATAACTTTTGAAGAGGAAAAAAATTTTTCAGGTGAAGGATATATGAAGAAGACTGCTTAAAATGTAATCTAAAGGCCATATTATATGGATATGTGTACAGATAGAGAAAGGATGCCTATTGTGAAGTGGTGGTGGTTAAGCTATTGCGAGTAATTTTGTCTGTCTGGCCCTGTGGCAGATTAAGCTCCCCATCTATATAATACACACATAAAATATAGAGGTAGATAAGTGTAGAGGAGATGAGGAATAATGAAGGCACAAGAGAACCAGATAGAATCTTCTTATTTCTAAAAATTTGTCAGTCTTTACATTATTTACACATGGACTATTGTCCCCATTTTTGATGTTCTCACAACATTTTGACTGTTGTGCTCTCTAGCAAATAATGTAAATAATAACAAACTTTTCATCCCAGAAATTAAGACAGAAATTGTTCAGTATATTGAACATTGATTTTGCTGTTACATTTCAAGATTTTTAATAACTCTTTGAATGAAATATAGAAGTGCCTGATTTTCCTTACCTATTTATTAAAAAACTGAAATGAGGAAAAAAAAAAAAAATAGAAACATGCAATTTCTATAAAATTACATTTGAGGAAAAAAAAAAAAAAAAAAAACTTCATATTTTTCAAATCAACTGAATGTGGGGGGGGAGAAGAAAAAAAGGATCTCTGGAATAAAACAGTAAAGAAAAACATTTCCTTTTCTTTTATTCAAAATCTGGCTGCTAATCCACATGTTGCCTTCTCTGCCTAACCAATGTTAAGCTCAATTCGTAAGCATGTTCTATTTTCTCATATCAGCTCAATCATTTACTGCTCTAAATGTCAGCGTGGTGCTGACTATATAGATAGTTTAGAGTGTATAAATGAGAATAAATCAACATATGCCATCTAGTATTCATAAGGGGTAATTCAATAATTTTCATAGGTGCATTAATATATCCAAGTCTACCTGTGTCTGTATGCTATGTTCAGAGTCGGGCACATTTAGATTTTCACTTGAAAGTATTGATGACAATACACGTTAAGTCTTTCTAGCCTTCCCTCTAAACAAAAAGAGTGATTTTTAGGTCTGAATATAATGTGATGGTGATATCTATATATATACACATATTGGTAGATTATTAATATCTGTATATTGTTTTTTTACTTCTCTATTTCAATCATTGCACACACTCTTTTTAAGTCCTCGACCAAGAATAAAACTGGTCAGCTTTTCTTTTTCAGTTTACTATCTGTAGTAATTACCATTTTTTTTTTTTTTCCTTTGCTCTTTGTTTTCAAAATGTCCATTTTAGTGGACATAAGAAAATTTACTTTCCCTGCTAATGAGGCAGATTGGAAGTGCTGGTGATTTAAAAGGTGGCTGGTTATAAAGTTCCTTAGAAATGTTTACAAATACAGATTCTCATGGAAGTTTTATTTCTTCAGACCAAAGAGAAAGGCAGTCTACTTCAGTACAAATATCCACACTTCCCATTTATGACAAGAGGATAAAACAAAAAGTTTATCTCACAAGCAGTTATTTGCTTATATGTTGATTTCAATCTTTGCTGGGAATGACTGCGAAACACTTGCCCCTACACTTTTATAAACAGAAGCACACAAATGCATGCTGAGATTTTCTTCCTAGCCAATAAGATAGGATGGCTTGCAGTTTTATATGACTTGGTCATGATCTGTCTTGTCTTGAAGTTAGAACACTATGTCTGCTCGTCTGAACTTGCTTGTGTGTCAATGCCAATATTTGGTTTGTGCACTTTTTCCATATTAATGTTGATTTGTCTTGCATATATTGTTTGCTTGCTTTATATTCTTTTTGCCGTTTCTTTCTTTTCTTTGCTTATTGAAAAATGTCAATTCTGTTTGGACAGTTCCATTATTTATTTTGCATTTAACCATGGCTACTTATTCCACAATAAACCTGTATTAAGTCTGTGGATTGATTAAAACAACATAACGGACATCTCTTTAGCCAATCCACATCAACAAAATATTTCTCTAGTACCAAAGGAATTGAAATGGTTTTTATTCAAAGGGATATAATCAAGGAACCATTACAGCCACCATATTTATGCATGTATAACATATATGTGTGTGTGTGTGTGTGTGTGTGTGTCTGAAGAGTAAGCGTGTGTCCATGCTCATAAATGGCAAGTGTTAGACTGTAAGTATTGTCTTAAGCAAACTTTTCATCAAGAAAAGCAACTTTAACTCTCATAGAACAAAAGTGTTTGTATGAATTATGCAATCATGATAAAAACTGTATAATAAAGCATTTTTAAGGAAATTGTAAAATTTACATTTTAACAGTTCTTATTTTCAGATTTTGATTTTTGGACATTTTGTCGCCTTGACTTTAGGTAGGTGCCACAGAGTTTACAGAAGAAATAAAATTTTGTGGTAAGTGACATTTTGGCAGATCTGAGATTTGAATGAGAATCAACAAGTGTCATTTCAAGGTGAAGAAATGATTACACACCTACTTGTGAAATGGGCCGGTCATAAAGATTAAGAGAAAAGACTGGTAGAATTTTAAACCAATGTCATAATCATGGGGCATTTATTCTTCCATAGCATATAACATTTTCTCAAAAGTTTAGACACTTATCATTCACTGGAACTAAGAACCAACATTTAATATTAGAATATCAAGTTATACATTTTTAATGCCTCAAGAGATCTTACACTCCTTTTATTCAAAATAATAATTTTGACATTTTTTTTATAGATACACTTTGGAGCATGTTCTCTCAGTAGAAAATGTTTTCTACCAACCTATTTTTCAATGCAATATCAGGTAAACTTGTTAATTATGGTTATATATCTTTATTATGACTTACTGCAATAGAAACATTTTTTATTTGCTTAAAACAAAAAGCAATTTTGTGTTAAGACATTCACTAGTTTTGCAATAAGGGAAAATAACTGAAATAAAACAAATTAATAAATTCTTGTACGTAGAGTTATTCCCCTTGATCAGTCACATCACAAAAGAAATAAAAGAGGAAGTGGGAATGAAATACTAAAGAAAAAAAGCGAGCCGAGAAATAATGAATGGAAAGAAAAAATATTACCGAAAAAGTGTGAGAAAAAAATAAAATAGAACGGAAAATATAGAATGAAAAAATAAAAAAATATCCCCAAATTTTAAATGATTGCAAAAATAATAAAATTCCTTATCTTCAAAGCTTGCCCATCATAGAAAAAAAGGGTTGAGAAAGAATTATTGCTAAGTGAATGTTTCAGGCATCCCCACACCATTTAATCGTTCTAGTAAAAATTTCTGTTTTCTAAGCATAAGAGATCTTTGAATTTTGTCAGTTATTTTTCCCTTTCACATGTAAGAAAATATTTGAGACCACATTTTATTATCTCCTCACCAATTCTTATATTTAATATTACAGGGACATGATGGAGTTAGGCTAGACGCAAATACTGATAGTCTACAGAAAACCCCAAATTTGCATATCAGACCCAGAAAATATATTTTGAGGGGGTGGGGAAAGAAACCAATGTTGGGCATCATCATATGCCAAATACAATTATTCTAGTATTCCTTTGTGTGTGTGTGTGTGTGTGTGTGTGTGTGTGTGTGTGTGTGTGTATTTGGGATGGTTTCTTTTTGACTTTTAAGTGCTGGACTCCTGACATCCCTATTGAATTTTGTCATATATATTCCAATCTCTAAAACTATTCCCACTAATTTCAGTACCTTAGCATCAAGGTACATTGAACATTAGCAAAAATCTAATAGGTTCAGTCATAAATGTTTCCAAGAACACACAATTATACAACAACTTTTGGGAACAAAGTGTGTATAATTTGAATATTCTCATATATCTTATGCTTCCATTTGACAGTTTACATAGATTTAATACAACATAATGAGATTATTAAGCCCCAATTAAAACCAATTTCCATAATTTTTCAAAAGCAAAAACCATAGTTCAGTTTTAAGATTAAGAAATGAAAAAAAGCTTTAATATCAGCTGAAAGCAAATTGACAGGCAAATATCCACAAATTTATTACATTTGAAAAGCCATTTAATTTGTTTCTGCATTTTGAAGCATATCCATTAAAAAGTTTTCTTCATTACTGGGCTTCCATAGTTTTGCAGTTGTGTCCCCTTGAACTTATAAAAAATTATATATGGTTTGATGAAATTAAATAACCAATCAATGAAGTTTATATTTTTATTTTTAAAAGCTCAAACTTATTTTTCTAACTCAACAATGGAACAGAGTGTAATTATTTCATGTTTTTCTATTAATTAATAAAAAGAGATAAAAAAAAATTAACATCAGCCATAACAGAATATCAATTGATTAATAATTGAAATGTAACAAATTCTTACAATAAATCATTAGTATATAAGATTTAAGTGAATAAAAATGCAGTTATATTAATGTAGATTTTAATGAAATCTTACTTGATTTTCAGAGATGTAAACAGATTTTTTTTTTTTAAATCTTTTTATTTTGTACATACATATTAAAATATAATTATCTACTTGATCAAATGATGCTATGAAGCAATCAAATCTTTACACTGAAAGCAAAACATGACTTTTATTGCCTTTGACAAAGCACATTGGGGAAGAAAACATTTTAATTGTCAGCTACAAAATATATACATTTTAGATGTGATTCCAGCTTGAAAAGAGCTAATTCTTGAATGTTCCTTTGAGAATGAAAGTGAAAAGCAGCAATAAATTTCATCAGGATACAAAGAAATTGTGGAAATAAATAAAAATTAAAATGTGTGACTTTCAAGTCATGCTTACAAGAATTAATTTTCCTAATTATACAAGGGTCACTCCAAAAGTAAAGCCTCTATTATCATATTAGAAAAACATTGGAGATATGGCAGAAAAGGATGTACCTTTCTTTCAATAACACATTTTTTTGCTTTGTCACAATTTTGAGTGGCAACCTTTCAAAATGGCATCTGAGAAGAAAATGTCGACAAAGCAGAGGTGCATCATTGAATTCACCCAGTCAGAAAAATTACACTCATTGACATCCATAGAAACCAAACAGTGGATGTGATCACAGGCAGTGGGTAATGTGCTTCAGCAGTGGTGACAGTAATGTGCATGACAAGTCATGTTTCAGTTGGTGTATAGGCGTCAAACCATGAAATGCTAACAAAAAAAGTTAGCCAAAGGTGGTGACTATGAAAAACAAAAAAAAAACAAAAAAAAACGTTTGGCACACACTGACTTTGATTTCCACCATAGACGTAAGTGTGTATGTGTGCGCACGTGCATACACATACATAGCATAGCCTTTATCAGCAAGGAATATGGGCTGAATGAGCCCAGTTTAAATTCTGGATGTGGCCATTGTATTCACTTTTGCAAATCACAAAACTACTCTTGGAAAAGAAACAAATCTATCATTTCTCCCTCCCCCAACTATAGGTTAAACAACATGGCAGACTGGACTCACTAGCCAGTCTAGGAAAAAGTCAACTCTAAATTCAAAAACCATTTGGGTGTGGGGCAAGCAACTCCATTCCCATCAAACTTACTTGCTAGTGAAATCACAGCACCACCACCCAGCAATGTTTGGCTGTGGCTCTATACTCCACGGAGTCTACAGGTTCACAAAAAATATACAGGCAAAGTTTTGGGACTTTCTTATTGCTACCCACCGACTTTACTGCTACTTTACCACTTCTCCAAAATTTAATTTAATCTTTTTTTTTTGTTGCACTAGATGAAAATTTCAGGAAACAGAGAAAAAGATTTAATGATGAACATGGAATCTTGAATGTCTAAGTTTCAATCTGAATGTTATGTAAAAAGGAATTGTCAATGGTCAGGAATTATACCAAATATGACTGACAGAATAGGATTGTGTGTATGGGGAATGAGGTCTCTTCAGAACAGAGGCATTCATGGCTCTCTGCAAATTTCTTTTCTTTATTATGAATTACCATTTCTTGGGAAAGATAGTGGATTACTTTCTTGGGTTTTTTTTTTTTTTTAAATTCAGAGTTGGCCTTCCAAGACTAGCTCCCACCTAAGATTAGAGAGCCCTAACTACCTTGCTATTTAACCTTTAGCTGGGGTCAAAATTGATTCATGCCTTTTCTGTATGGCATACAACAATCTACACTGGAATTCTGCAGCATTAATCATTATAGTACTCACCACATTTCTCCTTATGACAATTATAGGTAAAATCTCTTTGTATCAAAGGCTGAATATTGCATTTTTCTTCTTTTTTTTTCTAATTTATTACTCTTAGAAGGAACATTGAAAAAATTAGCTTTATATCAGAGATGGATTGGGGGAGAAGGAATATTGCAGCTTAACATAAGCTGACAAACAAGATCAATGTTAGAGAAGCAAAAAGCAGAAAAGCTATGACCAATAAGCAGATCCCCATTATGGAAAAAAAAACAAAAAAAAAACAACAATAATGTCTAAAGGAGGCAAAAATTGTCCTGCATCTCCAAATGGAAACAGAACATAAAGAAAGATTAAAAAAAAGGATTAACTAGGAAGGGATGATATGTGAGAAAGAGTATAAATAGGGAGAATGAAGAAAAAGACAAAATAAAAAAAAATAATGTCAACAGCAACTAATGGACAAGAAAAAATGAAACATACTTCTAGGACACGACTCTCTTTTTCTAGAAAATGGAAAAAATTCATTGAAATATCAAAGTGTTCTCATTCTGTGACATCAAAATACAAATGTCACAGAACAATTATTTTATCTTAATAGATTAAATTTGACATTACTAGAAAATAAAAAAATGTTACAATTATTTCCAATGCATTTTTTTAATTGATACTCACTCCCTCCACTAACCATACAAATTCTCACATACAATTTAGTTGTCTTTAGTTGTAAATCAAAACATAGGGTTGTTTCAAATGAGAAAAGCAGTTATTGATTACAACAGAAAAAGAAAAAAAAAAATGTACAATATTTAACATGCTTTTTAAAATCTTATTAAATATTAAAATTAAAACAAAGCAGAGCAGGTATTTATGATTAATATCAAATCCAGTTAATTAGATGACTATACACTAGTTCCCCCTACCATGCGATTTGTTTCATAGAAATGGTCAGAAATTTAACCATGGTTAATATCAATCCAACATTTCTATTTTGACAAAATTAGCTCACTGTACCTAAACAACATTTAAACAAATATTAGTTTCATTAACTAAATAAACATGTACTACATCAGATGAAATCATTTCAAATAAAACTAATTCTCTGAAAGTGAAGTATCGATTAGTTAGTACTTGTAGTGTATCATCAGTAAATTTCACATATACTCTATTTTATGTGTCATGTCCTTTCATGACACGCACATACATGGCTTTCCACTTCTTCCTGTCTTTGTTGCTCTAAGTAACTTTTGACCTTTTACCATGTCTTTTTTGCTATCTATTCACTCAAGTGAGGTAAATAGGTTGCTTGTTGTGACACCTTGCTTCTCCTGCCTTCTATATCTTCTGTGAGTATGGTACTGAACATTTAAGAAATGTTTAAAAATTGTGACTGAATTCAGGCCTTCATGCTTTTAACTTCATAGAATTGCTTTGTAACTTAAAAGATCATGTTTTAATTGGTACACTGACAGTTACATGGGTTACATGTAAATCTGAATACGTAATGGAGATCTGAGTACCATAAACTACATGATGATTTGATAACCGGTGTAGAAATATTTTAGGATGAATATCAATAGAATTGAAGTTTGTTTTTTAATTGATAACTTTTGACTATCACTAGATAGATTAAATATGGTTTAAAGTCCGTAACTCAGTTTTCTTTCTTCTATCCAATACATTGCTTGTTTGTGTTGGACTGGACATAATTGAAGTATTTCTATGACACACCAATGTTCTCAATACATTTTAAAATATTTGTGTTTGTGCATTTGAAATATATTGCCAAGAATAGAGATGAAAAGGCAAGATCAATTAAAAAGCAATATTTTCAATATAATTGTAATTAGCCATTTCCTTACAAGATAGCATTTGGCTTTCATTCACCAAGTAGCCAGTAAACAAAATCTAGTTCAACTTTAAAACAAGATCTCATCAAATTCAAGAAACAAGGAGCAGACATGCGGATAAAAAAAAAAAAAAAAAAAAAACAACAACAACAATTCAATCTTACTAATTTCAACATATAATAAAAAAAATAGTCAATTATATATTTACATAAGTAAGCATCTTTGCAACTCAGGACTAACAATAGTATTTTTTATTCTTCCATTTAACACAAAGTTCTCATTTATGTGTATATTTTGCAGTCAATTTTAAATCCTGGGTTGTAAATGTACTTTTTCTCAGTTGACTTATTGAACCAATCAAAAAGAATATAAGGATAAAAGATCTTTGATCTGATTACATTTTAAATAAATACAGTCAGTATCTAACATGGCTTAATTATTTAAAAAGAAAAGAAAAAAAACGACGATAATGCTGTCTTCTGGTTGTCAATTGTGAATTGCATCAAGAACAAACTTTTCCATTAAGTAAAGAATAGTTTCATGTTAAAGCTAGACATGTTCATGTGGTTAAGTCCACTGACTTAACAAAAGACATTGTAGTTGAAGTCATTTTATTGTTCTGTATCATATTACTTAAATAACTAAACATTATTTTGCATTTGCTTAAATAAAGATCAAGAAGATTTCCATGTCTAATAGAATGAGGCATTTACTTGCTCACTCTGCAGGTAGGTCTTGTGATCTGTTAGTTTAGAAGCACCACCACCTATCAAGATCATCTGTTAGTATAAGTAGCAAGATAGCTAGGCCCATTACATAGCTTACAGCATCTGATATTCCTCAGTGGTCACACATCTAAATACTGACCAGGCTCAACGTTGCTTAACTTTGGTGATCAAATGAGAACAAGTGTTTCAACATGATATGGCCATAAGCAGGCTTTTACAGTAAAGCAATAAACAGAAAAAAGTTCAGCAGGTCACTGCTATGGAATGATCTTCACAGGGTATCCTATTTTATAGCCTTGTACCAGACTAAGCTGAATTTAGTGTATGTGTGGGGGGAGTGATGCTGAAGTTCATCATGCTGGAGTAGGTGCCCTACTAATGTGGCCTTAGTAAATAACTATATCTAAACAGATGAATAGAAATAGTTTCTCTTGAGATAACAGGGTAACTATAAAACACAAATAAGAAATGACATAGCCAGTCAGCCATTTCAGTGTCGTTTTTATAATATGCCAACAAATGAGAGTAGGTTTATTGTACAAAGAAATATTTCACTTATTTTAGTTGATTGCTGAAGGCATTGGTATAACATTGTGTTAAATATAACAAGTATGAAGTTAAAGGACTGAGTTGCAAGTCATGCTACTAAAATCCAACAACTACTACTACAGGCATACACATGCAGTTAATGAGAGAATATGGATTTACACAGAATGAAACTTACTATCATGGTAAGAGGGGGGAGGATATACGGGGTAGCCACTGTAGGGGTTTCCAGATCCATTATAATTATACACCTGGTTGGGTGGTAGGTTGTACTTGTTACTTGGAATATCATCATAGGCACTGTTAGGCATTCCTTGAGGACTAGACTTGCCCTGATTCACTCTAGAACGGACATAAGAAAAGGCATTTAATTGCACGCATTATGAAAAAAAAAATTAATAATAGACAGAAACAAAGTAGTAATATGTTGTACTAAAGAGAAAAGAAAAATAATAAATTCAAAGCAGCAGAATATACCAAAATTAAGTAAAAAGCAAAGCTGGAAAAAGCAAAAGTGTATAAACATAAAATTAAGAATTATTTCTTGAATTACAAGAACGTTGTTGCATTTGAATGTGGTATTTTGTGTTTTGAAACTTGTACAGTTTTAACCCTAGAAAGCCTGAACACAAAAACTAATTTACAAAAATTATCCTACTTAGTCATCTTTAGTTTCATAACTGTTCACCAGATGGCAGTGATCCTATGTACAACCACAGGCATTTGTGACCTACAGGAGATTTTTCTTTTAGTTAAAAAAGAAATTAATATTTATATTTAATTTCTAAATTTGTATCTTAAATTGTATCACAGGCATCTTAGTGTTAAATATAGAATACTAAAAAAATATATTGCCTTAAATTTTAAGGAGAGATATAGTTGTTCCTGCAAATGAATTCATTCTTTTGTGTTGATGTTTTTATTTAAATATTGTAGTAAAAGTATCATAACAAGAATGGAGAGTTCATTTTTCTGGACAATTCTTTAAGGAAAAAAAAAAAAAAAAAAAAAAAAAAAAAAAAGAATACACTTGTAATCAATAAGTGAAAGCAGTTTGATTCTGGTTTTGTAATGTTTTCTTTTAAATTTTATATTCCCTTTGCTATAGAGCAATTTTTCAAATTCACAAATACAAAAAAAAATAATGCTACTACATATGATAAAATCTTTAATTGTATAGATTTTAAGTTTAAAAAGTTCATTATGCAATATCTTATATAAAATAGTTTTTATACCTTAAGGTGAGCACAAAATAGCAACAACCATTAAACAGATTATATATATATATATATATATATATATATACACACACACACACAAAGAAGAAATCAGAAGCATATCAATGTAACATGTTTCCTTTAAGTTTTTTCAGAGATTGACCAAAAAAAAAAAAAAAAAAAAAAAAAAAAAAAAGGACAGAACTTTCAATTTTTGTGGAGGTCAATTCTTATTGGTCAGCCATGTATCACATGCATTAAAACTGTAGATAATTTTATATGTAAGTTGATAAAAATATGGATTTAATGCATGTGATATGTGACTGACCAATAGGAATTGGGACCCCCATCGAAATTGAAAATACCAAAGTTCTGTCTGTTTTCTCTCAATCTCTAACAAAACCTTAATAAAAGTGTAATGTTAGATTGATATATGTTTCCTATTTGTTCTTTATCTTATTCTGTTAGATTCCAATCTGCATTTGATCATTTATATATATATATATATATATATATATATATATATATACATATATATATATACACACACACACACACACAGGGTGTCCATAAAGTTTGTGTGCAATTTAAAATACTTAAGTATTTTAAATTGCACACACTATGGACATTTTATGTGTGTACGTGTATATATATATATATATATATATATATATATATATATATATATATATTAGTACTGCATTATAAAAATTAAACCCAGGGATTTTCAATTTTTTTTTTTTCCTAATATTATTTGCCAGCTTAACTGTCAGGAGACATAATTTCAATGTCTGAAAAACAAAATTATTTCGACATTACAGGAAATCATGAGAAGTGTAACTGATATTTGAACCCAGTCTTGTTCAGGGTTTCTTATATGCTAACCCTATATTACATATTTTTAATTAAATTTCTCCTTGGAAGAAAATATAAATTAAGTTAAAAGGGCTAAGATTGAAGATATGTTTTATCCGCTGAAAAAGCAAAGAAAAAACAAAAGAAAAACAAACAAGAAAACAAATTTGAACAAAATCACAAAATGTTTAGAATCTAATGTAAAAAAACAAAAAAAAAAAACAAATAGTAAATCATTTTGTACAAATATATTTTTAATTTATGTGTGCTTTAATGAAAGATTTGAAAAATAATAGCTTAAACAATATGAAAATGTAATCATATTTTAAAGAGAGGATAGAAAAGGGGAAAAAATTTATTGTAAAACCATTTAAAATTAAAGACATGAGTTTTTATAAGACAATTCATAGAACAGCATGAAAGGAAGTTGGTAGAAAGATAACATTTAAAAACAAGATACTGTTAAGTTCAGTTGATGTAGTAGATTAACAGTTTAAGATTTTCACTGCCACATGATCTACTGCTGATATTGCATTGGTGTTAATTATTTTTTCAAATTAAAATTTGACTAGCATTTTCCATATAATGCTGTTATTTTTACAGAAAAAGTTAAAAACATAAGCTATATTGTTATCTGATTCATTAAATTACAATCAGAACTTTGTATAAACTTCTATAAAATGTGTTCAGTACTAAAATTCATTTCTTGCTATATTACCACACGTATCATGGTTATTTATTTTTTATAGAACAAACAGGAAAAAAAAGAAAACTTTGAATATAGAATTAGACAAAAATTTTCAAAAAGCATGAGTGCATGTGGAAAGGTGCCACAAAGCTGCAATAAATAAAATTACTAAATGCTCCAAAGGATTTGCAAAAAGCAAAACATTGTGAGATATATATATATATATATATATATATATATATATATGAGAGAGACTTATTATAACAAATTTGGATATGATAGAGAAATAGTTGAAAAATGGTAATGGATACTGTGAAAGCATTGTATTGTAAAAGAAATGAAAACAATAAAGAATGACTTCACATTGGTTTTATACATTAGTATTTGAAGAAAAGCTTAAAATCTATATAAATTAAGATATGATAAAATTAACAAATCAATTTTAACTTATAACAGATATATTATTAGAACATTTTATTAATTAGTTAACCAAAAAATCCTCTTTCTATTGAAAATTATTAAGATAAAATTCCAAGCAGATATTAACTTAAAATAAATTTAATTATAATTTATAGAGAAAGAGAAAATTTTTAAAGCATGGAATTATTAATCTGCAAAGTTTCAGCTTTTAAGCATGTCTAGTTATATATGCTATATATACCTTTCCAAGACCAGGATTTCAAATAGAACTGAGCATTTTTCTTTTGAATATTCATATGTATTTTTATGTTGAATACTACATCTGTGTGTCATGTATAAAAAAAAGACAATCTGGCAAGCAGCCAGTTTGAGTAAAAGTCTGAGTCAAACTAGTAAGAGGAGTCTTTAAGAAAAAAATATTTTGTTAATTGTTGCAATTATAGAATTTTTATTTGTACTTCAGTTTTTTTTTTTGGGAATACTTTTATAAGGCCAAATTTTCAGCTCCTCAACCTTCTACAAATATTATATATATATATATATACACACACACACACACACTTCTGGGGATTAACAATTGAAATTCTCTTGTTATTTAGATAACATTGATTTAACTAGAAACATTTGAAACTCTGGAAATTTAGCTTTATTTCAGGTTCAATCTCTTTAATATTGTCTAATATATAGATAAAACAATTGAAGACTCTCTATAAGTGGCAAATCAAATATAGACAATAAATTGAAATTTCAGCTTAAATATTATATATTTTATTGTGGTTTGCATGTTGTATCCCACTCTCCAAAAATGGATTATTTTTTATGACAATCTTTGGTATTCAAAGAGATTCTGATATTGGCATTTAATGTGAATTAACACTTAATTAAATATATTAATTATTCTAACCTTTTGCAAAATGTAAAATACAAAACAATAAAATAATAAGCTAATTTACATCTTTTTTCTTTCTTTTTTGTCGATGGAAATCGGGGATTTTTGGCTAGAAACAAATCATTTATCAAAGCCTGGTAATAATATTAATCAGAAAAACAAATTATGGAATGAGCTGGTTAAAAATCAGTAGTGTAATGCTTGTACAAATCTGATGTTACCTCACCTAAAACTTGAGATTAAAATTGTTCTGGGGTCTGTGAAACATTTTAGGATGACCGTTTTTTTTTTTTTTTTAACAATTCCAGGTTGATACAAAATATTTTAATTCAAATTCTATTATAGTTATTTTAAGGGCAACTAATTTCTTTTTTAAAAAAAAAAACTTCTCATCAATTGTGAGAGGATTTTAAATAGAGTAAACACATAAGAAAAACAAAAACGCAAGTGCTTCTTTTTAAACAGGTGAATGAAATGAAGGACTTAAATCTATATTTTTTATTTCTAAAATGTAAAAAAAACATTAAGGTATAAGTGTTAAAATTGTTTTAATAAAATTATATTTTTCCTTTCAATTTTTGTTTAAGAAACTTGAATGAACCATTAACATTTGTGTTATGATTTTTGCTTATCATAAACTATATTGAAAATACAATGAATTTAAAAATGATAAACAGAAAATTTAGTTTTAACTCAAAGCAAGTAATTGTAAATGGACATTTTTCTTTTTTGATTGTGAATAGTTGAAATGTGCTAATATATATTTTATATAGAAAATAAGTGTATAGACTACATTCTTAAGATTAATATAAAAGTTAATCTGAACATGAAAATTAAAAACATTTCCATGCATAATTATTCAAGGTGATTTAAATGAAATATTTGAAGTTTTGAATTTTATAAAAATAAAATTTAAATAAATTGTTTTTCTATGTATTCATTTTTAAAACTAAGCGTTTTTAGCTTTTTTTTATTTATTCTATTTCCTAAACTTTTAATGGTATTTTTTATGTTACTAACAACTAAAAACAAATTGATTTTGAAATGATTAAAGTAGTGACAAAAGTTAGCCCTGATCTCCTCCCTTTGCTGAAAATGGTTTTAATATCCAAAGATTAGAACTAGTCTCTGATTTGCACTGGATTTTCTACTGTTAACACATGCTTATCAGAGAATAAAAAACACCCTTTTGTATTTGTTTGTTTAAAAAGAAAAGAAAAGAAAAGAGAAAAGAAAAGAAAAAGAAAAGAGAAAAGAAAAAAGAAAAAAAAAG